TTACGGTTCGCGACCACAATAAAAGATACAGCCCTAGGTGCTATGGCTGTGGGGAAAGGGGCCATCTTCGGTCCAGCTGCCCTAAGCACACCCTAGGAAGGGAAGGTGAACGGTCTCAGAGAGGAAGTGCGGCTAACAGCACCGCCCAGCAGCAGCAGGAATACGACTTTACTATCAGACACTGCAGCGGCAAATCTCACGGCAACGCAGATGCATTGACAAGAAGACCTTGTCCTGAAGATTGCAACCATTGTAGTAGGCAAGAGAGTAAGGAAGTGGTATCCGTGAGGATGCTCAGGACAGACCACCTCAGCAACGGGTGGAAGGACATGCACAGCAGGAAGATCCGGACATCAAGCCGATTCTGGGATGGATGAATGCCCGTGCTACCAAGCCTAAGTGGAGGGACGTCTCAGCGATGAGTTCAACCACGAAAAGCTATTGGGCCCAATGGGACAGCTTGCTGATTCAGGATGGAGTCCTGTGCCGTAAATGGGACAATGGTCGAAGGGACAGCTGTCGTTTGCAAATGGTTGTCCCTAAAGCTAAAATGCCCAATGTTCTACAGCTGTGCCATAATGGTCGTTCAAGAGTCCATCTGGGAGTTAAACGAACTCTACTGAAGGTCCGAGAACAGTTTTACTGGGTCCATTATCGTGACGATGTCGAGGATTGGTGTCGTACGTGTACAAGTTGTGCGGCCGTGCGGGGACCTCAGACACGTAGTAGAGGAGCACCGAAATTGTACAATGTTGGTGCACCACGGGATAGAACAGCCCTTGACTTTGCGGAGTCGTTACAGAAAGGCGCAACAGGGACTCCTAAGATCGTCCATGTGAATCGCTTGGCGCGTTATTATGGGGCCGATAATGCTCGGGACGAGCATGTCTTAGGAGGGGGCAGTGTTGCATGAATAAGTCAACTAGCGCCATCTAGTGTCAGGAACGAGAGCGAGGGGAGCATTGAAAAAATGACATCACAAATCACTCAACCGACAGCGCCTAGTCGAAACTCGAACGGTCGGTACCTTGCGCGTGTTTACTTGAACATTCTGGATATTTTTTTGCTAATTTAAATATATAGGCGCTGCAAGATGCGATCAGAGCAGTGTTGATTTGGCGAAACAAGCGAAGCTTCGGAGCGGAATAAAGTGAATAAGTGTGTTTAAATTATTAGTGTTTTTAACTTTAATTTTTGTAAAGTAAATTAAAGTGTTAATTTAGGTAATTTTATCGGCAATTTTTATTGTCACGAACCTCAAGCTCCTAACAGTAGTATAATATATAATAACATATTACCTCCTGTACTATATTTTCGTAGATCAACATTATGCTATTTAAGATTTTTGTATACTGTTACGAAAATTACTGCACAGGGTTGTTTTTCAAGGGGCAGCCAAATTTTAAACTTAAGTTTAAATATGTAGACAATGATATACCGCTATCGCAATTTTTAAAAATATGAGTAAATAACGCTTCTGCTTTTATAGATTATTATCTCAAGTTTAATGTGATTTATGGGCAACAACGTTTTTGCCTACCTATCGACCCTTACACTAGTACTAAGTATGTGTGTTTGCGGCTTCGATCAGGATTGATCGAAGGCTTGCGCAGTAAAATCAGTTAATACAATGCATTACCACGCACTTTGAATTTTAAAGATAAAAAAGACAGAATGTTTGAGATTTTTTCAATAAATTTTCTTCAACGTTTGCCTATATCACTTATTCTAAACCTTCTTTTCAAATTTGGCCGTTTGTTGCACAAAATAATTGAATCTGCTGAAAAACAAAACCATATTTCAGCAACAATAAGAAGGATGATAAGAAATAGGGTTGATTAGAAAGAGATAAGTAATTATTAATAATGCAGATGATGAGAGAAAGGAAATAATTTCTGAATCAAATTTAAATATAGTAATTTTAAGCGTTAAAATTATTAAATTATTTTAGTATTTTATTATATTATTTATATACAATAAATATGTTTACTTTAAAGGCTAAATATATTTTCCGAATTACTATCACTTAGCAAACGGTTATATACTCTAAATAATAAATTATTTACGTTAGTTTAAGTTGCTTTGGTATAAATCTTAAGTGAATTAATCGATTTTTTACGTCTGACTGCTGGACACTCCTCCTCTCATTGTTGAGAAGGTTATGTAGCAAATAGCCCACCTCGTTGCTCCAATGCGTATTAGTGGGCTACAGATGTCCTCATAATTAATTTCTTCTTAGAATTGTCGGTCATTTCACGATGTTTTCCTTCACCGCTAATCATGTCGTAAATTAGCACTTTAATTTGCAATTAACAAACACATTGATACCGCCGGGGATCGAACCCGGGTTACTCGCGTACTGTGTAATTTACACCGACTGCTTAGCCTCTGTGCCTCTACATATAGTAAATTAAGCTTCTATATTTTTGTAATATTTACTAAACAATTTAATATGAGCTCTTCAGTAAGATTATATTTATTTTAGAAATGTTTCATCTTTTTATTTATAAAAATTACGTGTCACATTGTTCGTCCGCGATGAACTCCGAAACCACTCAAATGGCTATAATGAAATTCTGTAGATGTGTATCGCTTGCCTCAACTTGAGAGATAGGATAGTTTTTATCCCTACAAGTGACACACAATATTATTTATTGTGAATTTGCAGATTTTTTAAACGACAAAGGGTCGTCGGAAAGGGCAGATAAAAGTCTGCCTGAACAGCTAGTTACATATAAATGTATATTCGAATTCAACAATAGTCTCATAGACTCACAATAAAGTTATTGACATCCGCGACGGGACTGATTGACCTGAGGGGTCCGGACTGATTCAATTTTGACGTTTTTATTGGGTAATATTGATACACTTCGTGATTATTAGTTGTGTTACGATCATGTGTATGGTGTATTTGGTTGCTAGGAGTTTATTAGTTTGTGCTACGCGACGATCTAATTTGTTCTACACGCTCATTTCACACAGAGGGTGTTGTTCATTAAAGCAAAAGCACGCCGGATGTGTTGTGTTTCTAAAAAGACTTCATAATACACACTAGTTTATTTGATTTTATATTCTGTCTATAATTCGAGTAAGAAAATCCATAATCTGATATCGGCCCATAGTTTTATACTTTTAAACATTGATGAAAATGTAATTAGTAAGGTAAGTGGTTGTTGTGGCCCGTAAACATCTACATCTATCCTCGATTACGAATCAAAATACAGATGTGTTGTCACCCGTGAGGACTAAGATGGAATGCCTCGTTTCCAGTAAAAGGGTCTCCGGTTTTCTACACTCAACATACGAAACACAGCAGCAATAAGCTACTATTTGACGCTGGTGTTCTGAGAGGACGTGGTCCTTCCCCGGTCGAGCCGACCCCTTCGTGCTACAACTATACTACTAATATAACTGCAGCGTGGCTCTATCACGTACAAAATTATTTTAAATTATTACTAAATTGACAAATTTTTTTTACTATCCTTAGACGGATTAAGAAGCGGTTTTATTATTATAGTTTTTAAAGATACTAAATAAAATAGTCCAAGTAAGTCGTAAGTAAAATCAAACACAAATCACAAGATATGCAATATCGTGTTTCATCAGAAGCTTCATGTATTCAGAATAGAGCTGTTTTAGCATACATTATCAAGTAGATATTTGTTTAACGTCTTTAAATCCATCCCTATCCCATTAAATGATTCTAAAGTTAGATGGATCGGAGGTTTCAATGTTTTAAACGTATTGTCTCAATTGTCAGCGAATGCTTTGAAAGCACGGCATGTTCGGACGGCAAACGGAAGTGGCCTCCACTCTGTGAATAGAATATTGACTTGAAACTGACTCCGATGAGATTTGAATTTAGGTATGATTTAACTCACACGACGATGCAAAATTTGCTACCATTCTGACTACAAAATTAAACAAGACATGAAACATATCGAGGCTCGAGGCTAAGGAAAAAAATTGCGTCAAATCCTTATATTATTATTGCTGTTTCGAATGCAGTAGATCACAAAAAGAGAGTAATATTTTTGCCTGATACATATGTATATAATATGTCCCTTTTTATTCTCGCCGCAACATCTGAGCTAGTAACGCAAATAAAACGAAATAGAATTGTCATCATTGACCGTTTTACATAAACTTTCACAAAATGAAAAAAGAAAGAGACAGATATAGATATTATAAATATTATATTTAATTTATCGGTAATCAAGGATTCTGAGTAAGGCCGATGATATTATCATAGAAAAAATTTAACATACATGAACTGTCGAAAAATTGTGATCTAATGATTGATAAGCAAATATTATCGTGTCGGATATCAAATGAAATGTATAAATCATTTACGTGGTAGAGCCATGCTTTAACTATATTAGTAGTACAGTTAATTCTCGATTGGGGAAGGACCATGCTCTCATAAAATACCACCGTAAAATAGCAGCTCGATGCTGTGTTTCGTAAGGTGAGCGTAGAAAACCGGAGACCCATTTACTGGAAAGAGGCATTCCGTGTATCCTCACTGGTGGCAAAGCATCTAAATTTCGATTCGTAATCGAGGATACATGTAGATGTCTATGGGCCACAGCATTCACTTACGATCAGGTGACCTGTCTGCTCGTTTGTCAAACTTATTTTATAAAAAATATTTTTAAACTTCCTGAACCTACACACATATTTTGTTGCTGTCTAATTGTATGTATTCATCATGATTCATTACAGCCTATCATAAGACCACTGCTGAACATAGGCCTTTCTCATAGATGGGGGGGGGGATATTTGCCAAGCTGCCAAATCACAGCCAAATTGGCGATGGGCAGAAACTTTGAATGTCTGAGACGTCTGGAACTACTCTGTCGATCCGCTCGCCAAGCGTGTCGAATAAGCAAATCCTGTCGACAATGGTAGAGACTTATGCCCAGGATTAGACTTTCATGGGTTGGTAAAGAAGAAGAAAATATAACTAACTAGCCATTAATTATTTGTTTATATTGCAGTGCGATGAGGGCGGCGGCGCAACTGAGGGCATCAAGACTGAACCCCCCGAGGCAGAGGAGCCTCGCGCCATGCAGAAAGTTCCCTCACTATCGGACCTGTCTGATCCTGAAGCATCCCTGGGTAAGTATCTGGTTGTTTTATCATGTTTTTTTCTTTAGATGAATCAATATGGACAGTTCACACCGTCACCATTTTAAAATTATGACTAGGTACTCTTCCATGTTTTGAATGATATTATAAAAAAAGGTATCTTCCAGCTATTTCTATTTTTTGTAAAAGATTAATAAATATTTAGTTGCATAATATTTATTCGTAATTCCTGTTTTAAATTACATATTAAAGAAATGTTGTATACTTTTATCTATTTTAGTTACGCCATTACATATGCATATTGATAATATCGATATGTTGTGTCGTCTGGTTGATTTTTAATACTTAAAAGTAAAGTAAAGTTACAGCCTATATAGGTCCCACTGTTGGGCACAGGCCTCCCCTCATTTCTGAGAGGGTTTTAGGGCAAGGAAGTGTCCGCCGCGCTGCCCTGCGCTTGCCCTGCCCAGCGCTGCGTGTTGGCGAATTTCACATGTCTTCGAAATATTTTTTTCTTATTCCTCAGACATGCAGGTTTCCTCACGATGTTTTCCTTCACCGCTGAGCACGTGGTAAATCAGCACTTAAAATTGCAATTAACAATTTCATTGGTGCCGGCGGGGATCGAACCCGGGTTACTCGCGTCCTGTTATATTTACAGCGAGCGTTAACCATCTGAGCTACCACGGCTGAATACTTATATAAAAATTATTTATAGGCAATTTGCTTAAAACCTAAAATACGAGGAGTTTTCAATTTTTAAACTATATTCATACTGGTGTATTCTCAACACAACTCAATACATGAGTGTAATTTATAAGGTTTCCAAAGATTAGAAGTTGGAGTCCTATCACCGTATTTATGTATGTATGATATCAATAGAAGACGTGGGTCTGGTACTTGGGGCTTAATAAAACTTAATTAACTTCCTTCTAAAACGCTAATTCTGCGTAGCTAATTCTTTTCCCGAGTCAAACAGGACTGAAGGTTGTCTGTGACATATCCAATCATAGCATCACAACTTATGACACTTCCAAGGCGTAATCAATTCGATAAGGAAGCTCCCAGTTGACTGGCTCAATTCACTTAGTTTCATGCAACATGAAATCGCTGCCTTCCACCGCCCATTTTATCTCTATTATAAGCCATTTTACTGTTAACAATTTTAGTTCACAATTCAAGTTTTATATAAAATTAGGTTATTATTTTATTAAATTATGTTTAATAATAAATTCAAGTATAAATTATAAGTATAATAATTTCAGTTATTTACGATGATTAAAAATCCTATCATTTATCCGCTCACATTCCCCTCAGTTAAATTAAAATGTTTCTTGTATAAAAAACCTATTGCTCTAATAATTGAAAAATTCGTTTTATCCGTAATAATTCGCGTTTATGTATTTACTTTTTCACAGTTATCGTCACTAATGTATACGTTACTGCTTACAAAAGATGTCCCTTACAATCGCAATAAAGTTCTAATTTAATTATAATCATTTAAATTAATCAAAGTTTTTATTCATTACTGCCTGAATTAATTATATTATACCGTAATGCATAAAAATCACTGTAAATATAATAAATACAAAAAAGCACTGTAATATAATTGGCGTAATGTCTGCCTGTATTTTAGTTTTCAGTCGTTTAGTTTAAAAATATATATTTCTGAAATTGATTCCTTGGTTATAAATAAATTAGATACCATAACTTCTCAGCGTTCGATCTGGACGATAGAGTACTTGATATAGACTATGAATGATTAGCAAATAGGTGAAGCCTGAATAGGATAATATGGCTCATCCTTGTTACGAGTACCGACTGCACTTTCAGGAGCATGACGTTTACATAACCCAATTTACATGATACTAATTTATTTTTAATAAGTATATGTATACCGTATCGGTGTTCTTTTGGCAATGAATTCAGATGTAGTAGTGCAATTATTATGGATAGTGGTATTGTATAAAGGATGAGCGTTAAATAATGGAGACGGATGGAGGAAAATAAATGGTATACTCAAACGTGCTTTCCGCTTTCATGACTTATAAGGTTATTTTTTGCCTTTATTGCCATCGTATTTTTTTTTTCTAAATATGAGTATTTTAGTTGTTATATCACCAATATGTGATATTGAACCTAAATTTTCTAATTAAAACAAAACAAAAAGCTGGTGAAAATTACTTTTCTTAATTTGTCCTAATTTTCATTCGACAAGGATTAAGCGACCAAGATACCAAAAATAAAGAGGACACGTTTTAATACAACGTCCGCAGTACCAATTAATGTAGATGCTTATTGTTTCATCCCTCACCTTGTGCGTGATATGGTGCGTATCAGATATCCGGAGCCTAATTACTTTATTCCACATAAGAGGTTAACATACCAACAGACCAACGTATCGAAGTTTGTTAGTCTCCTCCAGGGTGGGCCATGCATACGGGCCCATTGTTTCATGTGTCTTTGTTTATGTACATATTTTAACGTGGGAACATCGGGTGTATTGCCCTTATGTATTCACGTACCCAAACATCATGCTAATGTTTACATTTCTTTAGCTTATTGAAAATTACATATCCCTTACCATTTTGGTTAAGATGCAATATTTTTGTTAATGTTAAGAGTTTTGATAGTATTTTTTACTTTATGTAAAATACCCCTTGATTAAATTGGGTTTTATATTTAATACAAATTTTCTTAAGAAACGAAAAATTTATTATACGTTGTAGAACCACGCTGCAGCAGAACCTGGATAGGATCACGCTCTTACAGAATACCAGCGTAAAATAGCAGCTTAATGTTGTGTTTCGTATGGTGAGTTTAGAGATCCGGAGATCTTTTTAACTGGAAATGAGGCATTCCATCTTAGATTTCAGGGTTAACTACGATGCATTTTGATATTTAACTGACGATAAATGTAGATGACTATGGGCCACAGCATCCACTTACCACCGAGTGGACTGTGTGCTGTTCTCTCATTCGATCAACTCCAAACAAATACAAAGTACATTAGAATACTTAAATCTTTAGAAATAGTCAACAATTTAAAAATGCTTTCTTGAATGCTCTCTATTTTATAGACTTGCTATACATGCGTATAAAACGTGATTGATATTTGAAGTATGTATCTCTCACCACTGAAATACGCTGGTATCCACTTAAGTACTGGCTCAATTTCATATAAATTCTCTGTGTTTATTTTGAAGTGGTTGTATCAAAGTATTTCTAGAAGTAGTAGACCGGAATATCCGTCACGAGTTAAGGGACTTATAGACAAAAGTAAAAAAATACTATTACGACAATATGTTATCGTTGTGTTCAAATGGTACAGACCTACATATAACACGACTATTTATAAAACTGTTGAAATTAAATCAGATTCTGCTGTGCACTTTAATTGGTGAAAAACAAAAGCAAAAGCTGAATGAAATTTGAAAGTGAATGAGCTCTTGAATGCAATACATTCGCGTTCCGAACGAATTAATCTCGACACGGTGAACTGCACTTAATAATTGCAAGTCTGGTAACATATTATCTGAATTTATTAGCGCAGCACACCTCGCAACGGAGCAAATGTGCTTTTTTCGATTTTTTTGTTATGATATTACTTCAAATAATATATGTAAATTTTAACATCAAATTTATATCGATATAGTTATTTCAGTTTTTAGGTTAGTTGTCATCAAATAAAATTACAAGTTTATCTATACTTCTTTGTTATCTACTTTGTTTCCGAAGAGCTAAGAAGAAAAGAGCTAAGTTAAAACCGATTCTAAAAATATTTTATTTAGATATTTCCCAGAAAATTAAAATAGTTTTTATAAAGGGTTTTTCAAAAAGGACTTGTACTTGGACTGTACCTACACTTTCACGAACCTTTACATTCCTTGAACGTAGGGGTATTGGATTATTGTTTACCGAACCGATCGTTTCTAATTTGACCACCAAACGTTGAAGAGTCGACTGTGAAGGACCACAACGCCTACCGTAAAATGGGCACAATGCGTGTAAGATTTGCACGTTTTTATAATAAATTTTTATCATTTGAACATGCTGTACAGTCATATAACTTGCCATGGTGAATTCACATAAGTAATAAACAAAATGGCCGCCACGGGCCGCCAAAACCTACCCGCGCCAATTGAAAAGCCATTTACTTCCTTGATTGAAATTTTGTTTTATTATGCACTTATTAATATAATACGTCCGAAAATCCAAGGAATTGTATAATGCTTAACACCTCTTTAACAGGTTTTCTCATAGCGCTGCTCTATGGTTTTTCTACGGCCAAGAAAAAAGTGATTACTTCATTTAAAAAAAATAACGATTAATAATAATGCTATTTAACTAGGAACGAATTCTAAATTTTTAAATGCAATATTTGAGTAATAATAATGTCCTCCAGACCGAACTTCGGCAACGGAGGCCTGTCTCAGCGGAGGCTAGCCATCGGCGCAAGACAGGATTATAGTGCCCAAGTGTATGCGCAAGCACAGGTGCACTCTCTATTCTCTCACTCTCATAATCCGATGGGACGGTAAACCGACACAACCGGAGAGAGATCAGGCGCAGGACCAACGGCTTTACGTGCTTTCCGAGGCACGGGGGTGAGACACCGCCAACTTCCTGACTCCGGGCAAATACTCAGAATTTCTTGACGGAAGAACTCAATAATTAGTTTTTTTTTGGCCCGACCCAGGATTCGAACCCAGGACCGCATGATCAGCAGTCGTACTACTACAACCACTAGACCAACGAGGCAGTCAATACTTGAGTATGACAATAAATAATATGTACTAATAAAAAATATAGAGACGCCACAACAAAGCTCTCCTTTCTTTATTCAGTAGAATTTTTAAACGTTACAAATTGTTACCACCACTCTCTTTCACGTCGCAGAGCGCCGCTGCACCTATATTACGGTAGCAGTATGAATTTACAGACACAAAAGCAAGTCAGAAAAAATATTTCTAGGCCATATATATAACTACTTCGTGCCTAAACCGAAGCCGCAACAAAGCGCTGCAGCC